CTTCTCTTCTCTTCTCTTCTCTTCTCTTCTCTTCTCTTCTCTTCTCTGTTTATTTTTTTGTTTTGTTTTTTAAGACAGTGTGCCTCTGGGTACCCTTTGCTGTCTTGGAGCTTACTCTGTAGTCCAGGCTGGCCTTGAACTCAGGGACTTTCCTGCTCTGCCTCCCAAGTGCTGGGATTATAGGCATGTACCACTGCCACTGGCCCTCTGGGCTTTTTCTAATTTGGGGTATGACTTAAACTCTTTGCTCCACCCAGTTTGAGCCTTTCTTTTGGGTCCTCCAACTTACTTTGGAGATTACAGAGAAGAGAGGAGAAACAAGGTCTTTTCTTCTCTGCATCCTCCCACGACCTTCCTGACACTAATTCTGTTTAAAGCAATGTATTCTTTCCATCTACTGCTTCAAGTTTCAGAACACATGGAACTAAGGGAGGACACAGGCAGACTTTTTAAGAGTGATGTCACTTCAGGCCAACTCGACTGTCAGAGTCAAAAGGACCCTTGAACTGATCCTAGCATAGGCCATCAGATCCAGCACACATTACCTGGGGACTGGCATCCACCACTGTCCAATACTATCCTGAGGCTGGCTGGGTTTCTGGAGAGCTGGCACCATCAAGGTTAACCTAGAATGGAAAGTGTTAAGTGCTTCTTTGCTGGAAATTTGCTGGGTAGGGCTTGGCTCAGGCAAATGTCTCCCAGCGCTAAGGAAATGATGCATCCCGGGAGACTGAAAATCAATAACTCAAGGACAGGAGTGGCCTTCGTGAACTTCATCAGAGGGGAAAGTGCTATGGACAGGGGAGGGGCTAGCTCCTCTGGAGATCCATCTTGGAGGCTCGATGCTCATCATTCGTCTAGGGGGGCCTTTGTTACCTGCCTCATCTGTTCTATTTTCCCTCTTCCATCTCCTGGCTTGCCCTGACTGACCTCTTGATGCTCCTCTTGGAATCCCTCTCCTGTTCTATGACACTGTCTCCTCTCGAGACCGTCTGTTTCCTAATTCCTTGTCACTGCCTCCCTCTGGAGGGGGTGGGGGTGGGGGTGAAGGTGCTCCCTTTGAGCCCCTATACCATGTGGAGCAGGAGAGAGTTCCTCAGGGGCCGAGAACTGCCATCCTCTATCCCTATGACCCAAGATAAGCCATCTAATCTGGACCTCTGTGCAAAGAAGAAGCTGAAGTAAGCTACCTTTTAAAAATAGCTCCATTGGGCTGGAGAGATGGCTTGGTTGGCAAAGTGCTTGGATAAGCATGAAGATTTGAGTTTAGATTCTCAGCACCCATGTAAAAAAGCAGGGTGCTATGACTATAGCACATGTAGGTAATTTCAGCTCAGGGGGTGGGATAGGGAAAGAGAGATGGTGAACACAGGTAGGTCCTACGGCCTAGCTGAATGGGTGACCTCAGTTCAGTGAGAGACTCTGAGAGCAATTAAGAAAGATACCAGATGATGACCTTTGACCTCCATACACAAAGCAGCATTGTTGAGGTAAAATTAACAGCAGATTGCACGTATCTAACACTTTGTCTTGAGAAATGCATATGCCTGTCAGGCCATCTTTGTCTTACATATATACTGACCACCCAAAAGACTTTCTTTGTGCCCCTTTGTAGCCTCTCTTGACCTCCTCAGACCCCTACCGCCTCTGTATGTCTCCTTTTGCCAGACAACCACTGATCTGTTTTCTGACACTTTAGGGTCACTATATTTTCTAGGCTGTTTCTATCAGTGGAATTAGACAGTTTGTGCTGTTTGGTCTGCTTCTTTCTCTGGGTACAGTTGAGATTCATCTACTCTGCATCAGTAATGTACTAGTAGCTCATCCCTTTTCCTCGTGAGTAGGATTCCATCATGAGTAGGCCTGTTTCTGTACCCATCCCCCGTCAGCGAGCATTTGGGCCTACAGCAAAAGCTGTTGCCATCATCCCCATACCCACCCAAAGAAGGTGACATCCTAGATTGCTCTGCTCACTTTCTTAGCCCATCAGCTGTCAAAGGGCAGATCCAGACTCTTCTTTCATGGCAGTTCAACACAAGATGGAGACACTGTCAGCTTGCTTGGGTTTGAATCTTGCTCTGTATGATTGTAGCATGACTTTGCTGGTTTGTTTCATGGAGATAATTATTCCTCCTTTCTGGAGCTGTGAGCATTGCATTGCAGCATGAAGCTCAAACATTTACCACGTGCTTGACACAACCTTCAGAAAGAGTAACCGTTAATGCCTTGTCTGTGTCTCTGAGGTCTTTATGCTCTAGAGTGAGTGAGTCTTGTGATAGCTGAGCAGTCACCATAAGCCTTCTTAGTGGTTCCATTTCACTGAGGGGTAGCTAAGTTTCAAGGGAATGAGTGACCTGAACAGGGCCAAAATTTGAGCTAGAGACGGATGCAGACATGTCCTGAGATCCAACCTGGGAATAGTTCCTACAGAGATGACAGGTCGAGGCAGAGGAAGGCCCTTAGTGTTTCCCAGTGACTTCTCAGAGTGGTTCCTGAAGACTCCTGTGTAGTAGAACAGCACACCCAGTGTAACTATGAGACACCAAAGGGATAACTTTTAGCCATGTATTTCTTTAGTCACCACAACCCAGTGACCAGGAGATTGGTAAAATCTTAGTCAAATCAGGATGCCTAGAGAGAGATGGTGAAAAGCTTCTGTTTTCTTTCATCTACCTCCAAGTAGCCCAAAATCCAAAAGGGGCTTCGACCTGTTTGCAGGCTAGGGCCCTGGAAATCACTTGGGCCCTTTGGCATCTTTAGATGGGAGATCTCCAGACTCTGGGTGTGTTTTTACTAACTGTATCAGAGTAGGTTAGGCTATGCCAGGACCACACATGACCTACAAGTTCAGCAGCTGATCACAATAAACGTTTATTTCTCATGTACGGTCTGTGAATAGCACAGGTGTGACAGTGGCAGTGGCTCCTAAAGCTTCACTTTTTATTGGTTCAAGTCACATGGCCACTCGCTATCAAGGGGTAAGGGGTAAGTGAGGACAGTCCTGCCCTGTGCTGGAAGGCAGAGTGCGGGGAATTCAGGAACAGCGCTAATGACTACTACCCTAGCCAAGTGACCTTTGAACCCGTTTCCTCTTTTGAAAACCAGGCACGTTAATTGTATACCTCAGAGATGACCGTGAGGGTTAGATGAAAACATGTGTGACACAGTCCAGTGTGGTTACAGGGTGAGTGAGAACTCTCCACTTTCAGCGGGCCAGCCCCCAGGGAGGCAGTCCAGGGTTACCTGTGTACAGAAGGATGCATAAGGCTAAGGCTTCCTCCTGGAAAGCACTGTGGCTCCCAGAGTACTGCCATGTCACCAGCAGAGGGTAGATAAGTTCTGCAGATCTTCCTATCCACCCAGCAGATCTCACACTGACTGCTTAGATGATGAACCTAGGACTCCATGCATGCAGGGCAAGTCTTCTACCATTGAACTCCAACCCTGTCCCACACTAATGATACCTCATCCTCACAGCCTTGTTCTTGCTCACTCCTGAGAGTCCCTCTCCATTCTGGTATTCTTTTCTGTAAACCTACTCCTCTGTCCAGACAGAGGTGGAGTCTATTGGAGAAACGATAGAGAACCCACAGACAATGTGAAGGACCGACATCTATTTTGAGGCAAGCACTGAGTGGGATTCTCGGTGCTGGTCCACTCATTGCAACTCCACAATGGTCCTGAGATGGGGACGTGATCCTTCTTGTTTTGAGATGTGGGAGCCGATGCTGGGCATGGTTACATCACCGACTCGGGGTTACATAGCTCACAATGTGGATGTGAGCTCTGGATGTGAGCCCAGACCTCCGTGACTCAGAAGATCACAACTCAGCCTCTGGGCTGTCTTTCGTTATTTCACTCAGACCAAAGTTTTGTCAGGACTATAAACTCACGACAGTCTGATTTCAGATGTTTAGCCTTGGGGTCCTTATTGTGCTGCCAGGGTATGGCACAGCAACCAAACTTCCAGCCTTGCAGCTCAGCCCCTGCTTTACCGTCCTATGTAACTTTGGACAAGTCTCCTTACCTCTCTGCACCTCGCTTTCTTCATTTGAAAATAAGATGGCTGAATAATGTGATCCGGGGGCTCTTTTTGAGTCTAGACGTTGGCATAGAGACTGGTGAGCATGAGAATTGCCACATGGATACTGTTAGCAGGCACAGTAAAGTAGAAGGGTGGGTAAAGTTACCATGTTTAAGAACTAGGTACAGTCAGGTGGTGGTGGTGCATGCTTTTAACCATAGGATTCAGAAGGCAGGTAGCTCTTTGAGTTCGACCCCAGTCTGGTCTACAAAGTGACTTTCAGGGTAGCCAGGACAGAACAGAGAAACCCCATCTCAAAAAGTCAAAACCAACCAAACAAAAAGAAGCATATACAATGGAGTATGTCTGTAATCCCAGTGCTCTGGAGGCTGAGGCAGGAGGATCATGAGTTTCAATGCTAGCCTGTGCTTCATGGAAAGACTTGGCTTTTAAAAAGGAAAGAAGGAAGGAAGGAAAGAAAGAAAGAAAGAAAGAAAGAAAGAAAGAAAGAAAGAAAGAAAGGAAGGAAGAAAGAAACTAAGAAAAGAAAGGAAGGAAAGAAGGAAGAAAGAAAAAAGATGTTTGAGGTTACATAGAGCATTAATTAAATCCTAATTATTATTTGGAGCCAAAAATAGAGTTTAAGAGTGATGGATGTTTGAAATCCATGGGCAGCTAACTCTCTGCCTTCCTTGCTATTTATAACAGACTCTGGTTTCCTCTGTGGCTGAGCCTGTCTCCTTCTAAACACAGGAAGTGAGGCTCGGTTCATGTCTGTACTCAGATCTCCTGAGTCTGCAGCTCAATGGGTCTTTTCTGGGGTCCTGAGCTTCTTGCTGGTGGGAAGGATTGGGCCTTGCCTCTGGCTGGGTATTGGAGTTTGGAGCTGGACATCTGCTAAAGGACCCCATTAGAGGATAGGCTGAGGCCTGCTCCCCTGGAACAAAGCACAGATGCTGGGATGGGCCTGGGGTTAGAACTCCAGGTCTTGAGTTCTGTATCCACTGCCACCATTTTACACTAAGACTTATTTAGATTTTGCAATGTTGTCCCTGAAGGAGGGGGCGGAGACACAGAAAGAAGACACAAGTTTAGACCTCCTTTGGGGACATTCCTGGTACCTATGGGGATCCCTTCCGTGTTTTTATCTGTTCCCATAGCACTGCTGTTAAAAAAGTGGAATGTGTCTAAGAGAACTCAGGCCAGATGGCTGCCCTAAGTCACTGCTGGAGTATTTTAACTACAGTTGCGTGGGAGCTTCCTGATTTGGAGGGGGCTCCCCACACCTCCCCTAGGTTCCCATCTGCCCAGACGCCCACAGCTCCTGTCAGGAAAAATGATGGAGGACCCAAGATGCCTGGGGGAAGGGACTCAGCTCAGAATAGAAGTTGGGGCTTATAGTCTAGTCCAGTTAGGGGCTCGGCCTCCCCTCCACCCCGTGTGTGTGTGTGTGTGTGTGTGTGTGTGTGTGTGTAACACTGAGGGCTGCATGCAGTAACCGATCCTGAGAAACATCATGGTTCTAGAAGGAGAGCAGCAGAAGAGGTGGGGACACAGTACTGAAGCAGTAGTTATTGACACTGGATAGAACTCAAAGAGGGAGGGCAGAGATTGTCTTAGTCTTTCTCTGAACTAATCTAAATCTCTCCAAATGGCAGCTTAAGCCTCTTTCTCACCTTGGATCCCCACATGACCTCAGCCCAGTTAGTCCCTCACCCCTGAACAGCAGAGCCTAGGAGTCAGGGTCTGGACCTCAGCCACCCAGCTGCTGCTTGCTGGCCCCAGAGGGAGCTGCTGGAGTGGCTAGGGCCACTGGAACCTTGAGATCCTAATGGCTAGAAGGTCTGAGTCTACAGCCATGTGCTTCCATGCTTACCCCAGAGCCGTACACCCTGAATGTCAGGAGATGCAGAAAGGAAAGCTCTGGTGGCATTTCCCAGCAGTGGACCTGTGAGTCAGAAGGGTCACCCTCTGTTGGAAGTCTGAGAGACCTATGGCAAACAGGAAACCAGAGTTAAGTACCAAAGAAGTCCAGGGATGGGAGGGAGGGGGAACATTTTTGGTTAAAACACATTATCATCCAGGAGGGCTGAGCCTGGGAGGGGGGAGACCTAAGAGCACCCTTAGGTAAAGCTGGGCTGGTCCAGCTCCCCTCCCCACAGGCATGCCTTTAGAGAAGTTGGGAAGCCTAGAGCCACATGCATGAGTCCAAATCTTGTGTGTTGCTTATGAGACTGTTTCCCCACTTGCAAAATTGAAAAATGAACACTAGAACCTGGCTCATAAGGTCAGGCGGACGAAGAACATAGGCACATAGCACCTACCTGTGTAGGTGGTTCGTGAGCATCACTCAGCTCTCCACATCCTATGTTTGTCAGAAGACAGAGTGGGTCTCAGTTCCTCAACACTGTCTCTTGCTCTAAGGGATGGGATTCACTGGCTTCGTGTTTCAGATGCTAATATTAATAAAATATGTAGGATCCCACCAGGACCCCTTACACACCACCACCACCACCACCACCACCACCGCTCTGGGGCGGGGCCATGGCTCTCCTCCTGTTTGCTATGAGGGTGGGAAGAATGAACTGACATAGCTTTCAAATTTCTCCTTAAAATTATTCCAAACAAGGATCTGGGCTCCCGAGTGGAGCAGTCACAAATGGGGGTGGGGGCGGGGAATGACGGCAACAAGAAGTGGGTCCTCAAGACCCTAACATACACCCTTGCCTCACAGGGTTTCATCATCTGAGGCTGATGCAAGAAGCTCAGAGTCAGACTCCCCGGCCTCCCCTCCCCCAGAGGTCTCCATCACATCTTGAGCTGCAGCTGGGTCTTCCTCTTGGGCCTTTTCCAGAGGAAGGAGCTGGGTGAAGCCTGGGAAGGGAGGGCAGCTGGTGAGGGGCCCTGTGAATGATCCTAATGTTGGAAGTTGGGGGGCAGGGAGAAGAGTGGGGCTCAGAGGGAGGGGGGTGAACTGGAAAGGGAATTGACTTCACATCACTGGTCTCCTTTCTCAGGGCCCTGTGTCGAAGTCTCCTGTGCTGAAGAATCCTTTATAGACATTTGTGATGGCAGTGGCTGGCCTTCTCCTCCCCTGCCCGCCCACTTTGCCATCTAGCCTCTCCCAGGTATCTGGAGGCAAGTGCGCCTGTGTCCCTACTACTTCCCAGGCAGATCTGGCCTCCCACATTGACCCTCTGCCCCCACTGTCACAAAGAGTGTGAACCAGGCCCTGTGGGTCATAAAGGTTAGTGGGACCCTGGTCTAGTGAGGAAAGCTGAGTTGGCCAGCCATCAAAGCAAAATATGAGCTTAAAGATGCTGCAGGGTGGAGGTAGGGAAATTTACTTAGACATTAACAAGAATCCCCTTCAATAAAGGTTGGCGGATTTACCGAAATAAATGCAGAAGGGACACGTTGCTGGCTCTTTCAAATTGCTAATCTCTGTGGCATGCTTTGAGGTGCAGCACACTGCCCAGAGACCAGGTTCTTACCCATGCCTAGCCACAGATTCGCTGTATGACCTTGGGGTGTTCCTCTTTGAGTCCCGTTCCTCATTTAGGAAAGGAAGATCCCACTGAGACTGAGGTACCCTGACTTCGAGGGAGGGCCGTGGTTCCCGAATGGTCAACTTCCCAGGGACGAGTCCATCATGCCACTCCCGCTTTCACCCCCCAGCCCTCCAATCCTACCCCGCCCCTCCCAGCAACCCGATGGACGGGAGCCAAGAGGTCTCTTTAAAGGCTCAAGTCCCGCCTCTGCTGCTTGTTGGGGCCTTCTATTGGCGGCTCCGAGGAGGGGCGGGGCCCTGCGCGGCTCCGAGGGGCTGGGGGTGGGTCCTGAGGCGGCTCGGCCCCCGCCCCCTTTGTTCGCTCTGCGGCGGGAGGTGGCGGTCCGGGTGGGAGGTGTGTGCGCGCGCGTGTGCCGCGCTGTAGGGAGCTGCGGGTCTCACTGCCCGCTGTCAACGAGCTCAGCACCTCCGCGCGATGGCTGGTGGAGACCTATGGGACCAGCCCCGTGGGGCCGGCCGCGGGTGAGCCCCTCTGCCGCCTCCTGCGAGCATGTCACCTCCAGCCTGTGAGGTCGCTTTCGCTAGCAGCGTCCGTGCCTCCGCCTTCTGCAGCCGCAGCCGCTGCCTGGAGCAGTGGCCCCCGGACCCCCGCCCCTGATCTGCGCCCAGACCCTGGTGCCAGAGGACCATGGCTGGCCAGGGCGACTGCTGCGTCAAAGTGGCCGTCAGGTATGGGTCGATGGCGGGGAAGGGGCGTGAGAGGAGGGGTTCGAGCTTTGTCTCGCGTGTTCTCGGGGCGGGGGGCGGGGGGCGCGGGCACCGCTCGAGCTGGAGTCTGCAGTCCAGGAGGAGGGGCCGACGCGCGCTGGCCCGGCTGCCGCAGGGGAGCGGCGGCCCTGCGGACTGATGGAAGGTGGCTTTGTTTGGGTGGTAATTTCTGGCCCCTCTTGGGAGCACTTAATGATCAGAAAATCGAATAAACAAGGAAATCCGGTATTTCACACCCAGCTTTGGCCCAGGCCGGAGCGTCTGTGTGTTTCCTCTTGTCCTCCCCATGAGGCTGCTGTCTCATTCTGGGGTATAGGAGGGAATCCCCCCTCCCCCACCTACCCCAGTTAGCTAGTTCTGTGCTCTTGATCCAGTTCACCATCCTGGGAGCGGATACAACAGACAAAGCTCGGTTGTGGGACCCATGAAAGGGTTGGAATGGTGCCTTCCCTTTCCACAGGGTGCCAATGGCTTTTTGGAGAAAGCCCTGCTGGTGCTGCCCCAAGAGGAGATGGAGCTAGGGAGGAAGAAAAAGGTATATCTGAGAGACTAATCCAGAAGGGGTGAAAGAGGGTGACAGGACCCTAATGCTACATCCACAGGCACATAGGTGAAACTGAGCTAGGGGGAAGGACCCCTAGATTTATCTGGAGTCCCATTCCCAATATCTGTAGGTACTAGAAGGAATCTGGCAGACATTAAGGGGAAAGAGGACGTGACTGAGTGCGTTCTTTTTCTAGGGGCACACAGGTGCAGGGACAGGAAATGCTACAAAGTTGAACCGTCTGTTCTTTGTGGTGTGTGAAGACGCCTTCCACTGGCTCTCCTGATTTTGTTTTGTGGTCTTCTCTTTAAGAAGAACATATTGGGAGAGAACCAGTGTAGGAGCTGGTGACCAACTCAGGGATGCACAGAGGAACATACATCTCTGGTCTGGTCTTGTAGAGTCGGGGAGGGGAGCAGTCAAATTCTAGGGTGGGTCCCTAAGACAAATGTCCAAATCCCCTGGGTCAGAGATGACCTAGATTCCAGGGATCCTGGGAAATGGCTTCTAGACAAGATGAGAGCAATCAATGAAATAGGTTTTCTTCCTGCCTCAGAGCAGATGCCCCCCCTAACTCCACCTGACCAACTCTGTGTGCCCCAGAGAGAAGGCCCAGAGGCTCAGTATATAGCCCAGGTGCTGAGGGAGGGAGACTGAGGACCACCGGTCCAGCAGCTTCTACAACACTCAGAACATCACTTGTGCACACTCTTCCTGGCACTGAACAGCCTGAGACAAAGAGGAGCCCTGCAGGTGCCTGGTGGGCTGGTGGGGCGGAGCCAGGCTGCGACTGAGGCTGACATTGCAGCCAGAACCCTTGGAGGTCGAGTGGGAGTGAGATGTGCCAATATGGTTGGTATCTTCAGCAGATGGGGAGAGGGGAGCTACCTACCATAAAAAGAAAATGGAAACCCAACCCCCAACCAGTGTGAACAAGAACTGACAGGGCAGGAGATGGGATGCCTTATCCATGGGGGCTTTCCTTTAGACTCCATTTTACCCGAGAGAGCCAAACAAAGGCCTTCCCCCTTGATTCAGACTCCCCAGTCTGGGCCTGGCATGGTAACATATTGGGGTTCCCACTTCAAGAGCCTAGGGCCATGGGCACCTGTGTAGAGAGTAAGGGGTAAGCAAGTGTCCCTTCCCACAACCACCATCAGGACGTTTCTGGGGCCTTTACCACGGAGAAAAGATGGTGGCTGCTTTCTGTACCCAGGACTTTGGGATGCTTTTCCCCAGAGCAGATGCCCCACCCCCTGGAGTCAGCTGTATATATGAAGTTGTGTGGAAATTGAACATCTGAAGAGCTAGCCTTTCCAAGGGCTCCAAGAAGGTGAGAGCCCCGCCCACTCATCCAGTCTGGCTCTAGATCAGCCAGCCAGGCACACGCCAGACCTCAATGGGCAGCCGGCCGTGCAGGCAGACAATGCCTGGACAGAGCCCAGGTTCTAATCAGAGAGCTGAGGGTGGGACTGGGCTGGGAGCAGCTGGTGCCAGTGATGTGCTTTAGGGGGAATTCTCCTTGGTTTAGTGTCTCTTTCCATGTCCCACCTCCAGTGTCCCCACCTGTGTCACTGACAGGACTGGGTTTGAGGCTGCAGTCCATGGCACATTTATAAGCAGCAAGGATTTTGGATTGCCTAGATCTACCCACTACTGTAAGTTTCCTAACTGCTGACAAAGAGAGCTGTCTTCCTGGCTTCCTGGAAGTCCTCTCTGAATTCCCATGAGAGTCACTTATGATGAAGCCCTGAGGTCTGGCCCTATGAACAGAGAGTGAGACAGAGCTTATCAGGGGTGTGTATGGGAAGATGGCCTGGGATGTTAGAAAGCGGACCCCGGGGCTCTTGATTTAGAACCCGGACAAAGATAAAGCTGTGTATAAAGTACTGCTTGGAGGCCTGGACTCTTAGAGTCAGAAAGAGGGAACGTTCAGGATGTGGGGGAGAGGGCCAGGTGTAACCAGGCTCCCAAATCCTCACACTGTGGTTCTCCCCTGCTAGGTAGAGTCAGACTCATCTGCCCCTGAACCCAGGCCAGTCAACCTCACACTAGAGATTCCCAACCGGTCCTTCCGCCCGCCTGGGATCCTTTTATCCACTAATCCCTGTACTCTAAAGGCTGGACTGACTGGCCTTTACCTGGGGTAGGGGAGAAAGGTGTGTAGCCAAGCCAGAGAGGGAGAAGACTGAGCTGTACCCACCTTGCTGCAGAAACAGAGGCTTGGCAAATAGGGGCCATAAGTTGGAGGTGGAGGAGTAGCCAAGAAACCTAAGTTGGCAAAGTTTAATTTGAGGAAGGAAGCCAAGCTACATGATGCGTTTATTTAAGACCCTTTCGGGCGCCCCCTGGCTCTGAGCCTCACCATAAAGAGAGTCCTTGGTGTTGCCTAGCCCCTTCCCCTTATCTCTGCCCGGCTTTGCTCAGCTTCCTTCCTTTAGTGTGCTGGGGAGGGGGAGGTGCTTTGGCCAGCCCCACAACCAGCCAGGGACCCAGGGGACGGTAGTGAATTCCATCCCTGCCCTCTCCTAGCTGGGATATCTCTCTTCAGCTACTTCCCAAGTATTAGACTTCCTTGGAATCTCGCTCAGTGACTGCCTACATTTTTAATCAAGACTTTGCCAGAATGGGAAGGAGAGTGAAGACAGAAGAAACTGTGGGGCTATGTGTGTGGGAGTGCCTTCAGGGTCCCAAAGCTAAGCAGTGCTAGCCACTGCCAGCTGTACCCTGTGCCATCCAATTTATAGATCTGGGAAGCTGAGCCCTCTATGGGCTGTGTAGAGACTAGAGATCTTGCTAGTGGCCTCCTGTTTAAGAAACAGGGCTTATATCATCACGAGGAAGTGGAGTGTTGTAACCACAGGCCCCGGAAATTGGCCCCTCTGCTACCCAGCCAGCCTGTTTGATTGGATCTTAGCTTTTGAAAACAACAGAGCAGAGGTAGTAGGGTGGGGCTGGGGCCAGGGAACCAGCAGAGGTGACACCCTTATTATAGCTCTGGGGACAAAGAGCAGGGCAGAGCCCAGGTAGTTGTCTACCAGGTGGGACATGTGGTCACTTCCCTCTCTTGTCTTTCTGGACCTCGTTTTACCCATCGGAGAATGGGAACACTTGACTGGTTCCGATCTGGTCCTTGTGCAGAGAGGTACTGAGCATAGTGCCTTGCAGGAAACAGAACGTGAGAAGACTCCTGGGGTATTGAGGATGAGTGCAATGTTTAAACAAATATCTCTAAGTTAAGTGTGCTTAAGAGGTGTCTCTCTAGTTTAAATGATAACATCTATTTAGTAAAAATAAATTCATTTGCAGCCAATCTATTCGTTTTTTTGACTGTGACCGAACAGCATAATTGCTTAAATTTTTGCTCAGTGCTGGGCACTGTGCCTGTCCTATCATGTTCAGCTGACCAAATAATTGATGCTTCTCTCATGAGCAAACACAGGGGAGCAGGGATGGAAAAGGCTGGATCTGAACTCAGGGCACCCTCCTTTGCAAGCATATGCTTACCAGTCACCCCTAATCTGCCCTAACTGGATTCTCAGTTCAGCTGCTAATTGGCTGAGCGCCTTGATGGCTGCTTCAGTTTCTTCAGATGCTTTATTGCCCTGCACTGTTGTGGTGAAAGGGATGAAGGAAATACATACCATACCATGCAGATGCATGGCAAAGGACAACATTCTCCAAGTGTGCCTCAGTGGTTGCTGGGCACAGCTGCCTGTCACCACCGAGGCCTGAGCTCCCAGATCCTTGCTGGGATCCTTGTTTTCTTTTGGGTTTAAGAAGCTGCTGTTCTCCTGTTCTGAGGTCCTTGTGACTGTCTCCTGCCTGAGTGCCACTTCGCCATTCTGCGTGCAAAGATGCTCTAGCAGATGTTTCTCAACCTTCCTCATGCTGTAACCCGTTAATACACTTCCTCGTGCTGTGGTGACCCCCAACCATGAAATTATTTTCTTTGCTACTTCGTAACTGTAATTTTGCTACTGTTATTAATCGTAATGCAAATATCTGTGTTTTCTGGTGGTCTTTTTAGGGTCACAACTCCTGTAGGGTTAGCCACCCTAGTCATGTCCTCTGGACATTAGTGCCTTGAGAACATTGAGGAAAGCAGTGTCTTTTGCCCCTCCACCTTGGAACAGCTGGAACTCAGTGAATCAGCTGCCTCAGCTGAGAAGATTGGGGGTTGAGGCTCTGAAGTCCTGGGCAGATGGTGGCCTATTGGGTGCATTGTCCTCGTCTCTGGCAGGTTCCTTCTTTTACCTCCATTTACTCTCCATGGAAAGGAGAGTGTGCTATGGTCCCTATCCCCAAATGCCTGGCTCTCTACCTTGGTGGCACGGCAGTAGAAGCTACCTGTCCTTTTTCTATGCCAAGCTGCCCTATTTCAGTGAGATGCACTTCATCAGAGAGCCGGTTGCCT